AAACTGATTTGTCTATGTATTTAATACAGTCACCTAAGGAGACAAAGTCCACATGTTTTTAGTAAAACATGATGTCTTAGTTAGGGTTTCTATTGCTGTGAAGAGACACCATGACCACAGCAACTCTTTTAAAGGAAAGTGTTCAGTTGGAGCTGGATTACAGTTTAGAGCTTTAGTCCATTATCATCATGATGGCAGACAGGCAGACATGGTGCTGAAGAGGTAGCCAGGAGGTTTACATTAGGCAGCAGGAAGAAAGAGCAGTGCTGAGCCTGGCTTGAGCTTCTGAAACCTCAAAGCCCCCCACCCCCCAGGAACACACTTCCTCCAATAAGGCCACACCTACTCCAAAAAAGGCCACACCTCTTAATAGTGCCACCCCCTATGGTCTTGTGTGGGCCATTTTAATTCAAATCACCACACATAAAGGTGTGTGTCACCATGTCCAGCTTCATTTTAAAGTGTTCCTTTGACTTTCAGGGGTGATTTCCACTGTTCATTTTCTTTGCTCCCATAGAGTATCAAGGTGTGAGAGTTGCAGGGAGAGAAAGGGTCTCAAGATGAAAGTGGTCAATGGCATCAGAGAGGGAGTGTCTTAAGTTTACTGTGGCTGTGATGAGACCCCCACGGCCAAAAGCAACTTGGAAGGAAAGGGTTTATTTCCACCCACAGTTCTATGTAACAGTTCATCATCAAAAGCAGTGAGGGCAGGAACTCAAGCAGGGCAGGAACCTGGAGGCAGGAGCTGATGCAGAGGCCATGGAGGGATGCTGCTTACTGACTTGCTCCTCATGACTTGCTCACCGCCTGCTTTCTTATAGAACCCAGGACCACCAGCCCAGGGATGGCACCACCCACAATGGGCTGCCCCTGAACCATCATTCACTAATTAAGAAAATGCCCTACAGCCAGATCTTATAGAGGCTCCCTCCTTTCAGTTAATTCAGCTTGTTTCAAATTGACATAAAGCTAGCCAGTACATGTGTTTGTACTACAAAACTTTAGGCTTCAGAAACTACAGATAAAGCTGTGTGTGATCACTGTTTTACTTTGCCTTCTACTGCTGTGATAAAGCACCATGATTACAAACAACTTGAGGAGGAAAGGGTTTGTTTCACCTTAGAATTTACAGTTCACCCTAAAGGGAAGGCAGGGCAGGAATTCGAGGCAGAAACCTGGAGGCAGGAACTGAAGCAGAGACCATGGAGAGGTGTTTTTTACTGGCTTGTTCCTGGTGGCCTGCTTAGCCTTTCCAGGACTGCCTGCCCAGGGGTGGCGCCACCTTCCATCAGCTGGGCCCTCCCACGTTAATCATGAGTGGAGAAAATGCTCCACAGGCTTGTCTTCAGGCCGGTCTGATGAGGCATTTTCTCAACTGAGGTTCCTTCTCCCGGGTGACCCTAGATTGTGTCAAGCTGACCGAAAACTAACCAGCACAGTGGTGTACGCCTATAATCCCAGCACTTGGGAGAATTGCTACAAGTTTTAGTTAAAGGCTGCCTAAGATACATAGTGAAACTCTGTTTCCAACCACCAAAATTAACAAGCAAAACTACAGACAGTATACTCGTTACTTTTGTTGTGTCATTTTAGTTTAAAGCTAGACTTGCCCATTGAAAGGGAGTATGTTAAGAAATACTTCCTGAGGAAGAACCCAAATGATTTCTGCATGTCTACAAACATAGCATGAAATTAGTTTGCGAGGTAAATTTGCGTTGCTGTTCTGTACAATCCATCTCTACACCAACTCAAGCTCATAAAATAACTAGAAAATGTCCTTCAAATATTTTTTCATGGCTGTGTTTCTTTCCCCTTCCTGTTTCTGTCTTGTTAGATTCATGCTGAAAAAAAAAAGAATTGTCTTGCTTGGATGCAGAAGCTCTGGTAAAGGGAGATCAGGGAGGGTGGGACAAACTTGAAACATGCTAGGGAAACTGAAAGAGAACAAACACTTGAAGCAGATCACCTAAACTTGACCTTCAGTGATAACCCCACCAGCCCCCGGTTGTGGCTGCTCATTACACAGAGCCTGACCAGGCCTGTACATGTGTGTTCACACTGACCAAAAGCTGATGCTCTGAAAACCCTTTTTACCAAGCAGTTTGGGATACCATGTCTTTTATTACTAAAGACCTTAACATATGTCTGCTCATAACAAGATGCTTTCTTAGGAAGCCTCATCACAATTACTGAATTTAGGAATACTAACATTGACACTATACATTACTGTCTAGTATACAGTCCTTTGCATCCGTTTTCCCATCAGCATCCTTTGACTTTTCCTGGTTTGAGGACCACACATTGCCTTCGGTTGTGATGTCTCTTTGATCATCTGTAATCTGGACCCGTGTCTTGGCATCTTTGTGTTTCACACCATTGGTATTTTTGATGGGTGCCGATAGATTCTTTTGCAGGATCCTCTTTGCCCTGGGTTTGCTTCATGTTTCTTCACAAACACATCCAGCTTATGTATTTCTAGCAGGTAAGTGGTATTGTGTCTTTTTCAAGCAATCAAATCAGAAAGTTCATAATGTCAGTGCAGCCCACTATTGGTGATGTAAGCTCTTGTTTTATTTGTTAGTACACTTAAGCCGTAACAAAACATCCATATTCAAATGCATAGTCTCTTTTTATCATGAAAGGGGCTCATAGTGAGCCGAACCTCTCTAGTTTAGCCTGCATGAGTGCAGTCCTCAATGCTTAATCTTCCTTGCCATGTCTGCAAATATCTGGGTGTTGTGTGATCATTGATTAGTAAGGCTGCAGCTGGGCACTGCAAGGCTGGATATAAAACTGTACAAGTAAGAAATTACCTGTGAATACCAGAATTTTCTTTATATTGCACAACCCAACCGCAAAAAAAAAAAAAATAATAATAATAATAACATTGGAATCTAGAGGCTGATTTAAATTAGCAGTGGGCCTCAGTGGATAGCTCTGAGTTCATTAAAAGAAACTTATTGGTTTCAATGCCTGACTCTATACTAATCTGGACTTACAAACCAACTTACAGAGTAACTTTGCACAGATGTATTTACATTTTAGACTTGAGGCTCCTGCATATGACAATTATCATAATGAAGTTATCCATATTTAGCTATTTGGAAACCACCACATCATACTCTTATAGCTCCCATTCCCTGCATGTTTTTATACTCTGTAGGCTTTCAGGTCTCTTGTCCTAGTGCCTAGAATTTTGCTCTGATCTTCAATGACCCCAGGACTCAGGAAACACACACATGTGTACAGGTCCACTGACTGACAGGACTTAGGGTCTGTTTGCTGGGGTCCAGACCCTGAGATCTGTTTCTTTCCCTTTACAAATAGCTCTTCTTACACACAGCGTACATCAGCACACTGACACGAACGCTGTAGGAACGGAGAACCACTCTATATAAGTGTGTCTTCTTAGCCACTGGTCCACTCTCAAAAATGAGCCAAGAGTAGGACCGTCCTACCTTGCAAGTATCTGTCTCTGAGTTCTTCCTCTACAAACAAGCACAGCGAAATCAAGAATCTTCTGAAGAAGGAAAGCTACACACAGGAGCCAAACTACAGCCCAGCTGGCTGTGCCGTGCCAGGGGTCAGGGTAGCTTTCGGAAAGCAAAGGTGCCGCATGAAAATGATCAAGGCGCCGTCCCCTCTCTTGGCAGGCGTAGGTTGTTGGCAGCTGAAACACGGCAAGGTCTTTCAGTCTAGTTTACTCATCTCAAATTTGGCCACAGAGCTGAAGCCTGGCCAGGGCTTGGAGGCCTCTAGATTTCTTAACAGATGCACAGAAGATGGTCCTAAAAGAAACAGAGGCCTGGAGAGGTTTACGTCCTGGATGATGTCCCTTACAATGTATTTCCATCAGGAAAATATGGTCTACGTTTGGAAAAAAAAACACTTAAAAACATTTATTTACTTATATTTTATGTGTATGTATGCCTGCATCTATATATGTTCATCATGTTCTTGCTTGGCACCATTAGAGGTAGGAAGAAGGTGTCTCATCTCCTGGAACTGGAGTTACAGGCAAAGCTGTCAGGTGGGTGCTGGGAACTGAACTCCGGTCACTCTGAAAGAACAGCAAGGGCTCTTAACGACTAAGCTATCTCTCCAGTACTCCCACCCAGACGTTTTAAGAGCTCCCAGTGTGCCTTCAAGTTGGAGACCACGTACAACTCATTACAATCCATGGAACGAATTTTCTGGATTTCTTATTTACAATACAACCCAGCACAACGGCTACTCGGAATGTGTGGGGAATGGGAGGATATCAAAAAGTTTAGGATACGGTCCTTTATGCTAGAAGTCTGCAATCATCCTGAGGAGATGATTCATACATATGTTATAAACTTACCAGTACAATGTAATGTCTGATGGCACGCTCAGATGAGTGGAAGAAAAAAAAAATGGATTACTGGAAATAGAGGGAAAGTAAGCATGTGGCTGTATGCTGGGGTTCATAAATCAAATGACGTCCACAAAGTCACAGCTACTCCGCTTCCTACCCGTGTGACAAAGTTACTTAAGCTTGCTAAAGCTCTGCCCGAGACTTTGGTGACCTGGAAGTGTTCGCTACTATTGCCATCTCTACTCAGCCACCACTTCAAGGATGAGTAGCACATGAGCACAGGAGAGCGTGACAGAACCATAATCCGCGCCAAGGCTGCTCGGGTTGTGTTTGTAAGTTTGTTGGCATCTATCTGCCAGGCAGAGGTTGAAGAAGGCAGAAGAAGGCCTGTCTCATCCAGAGTCGGGACCACACAGCGCCCTGCCACGCGAGATGCCCGTGCCTGCCTCTAGGGGGCGCTGCCGCTCAGCCTCCGCGGCCAGGCCCGGAGCGCGTCCCCGCCCCGCGCGTGCGCGCCGCCCAGGTGAGGAGGCGGCGGGGCGGGCTCGTCAGCGGGGCGGAGCCCGAGCGGCCAGGGCGGGGCGGGGCCCAGCCGGACCCAAGCCGGAGGCGGGACCAGCCGCCGCCGTCTCCGTCTCGCCACCGCGGCCCCCACACAGCCCGCAGCCGCCGCGGGAGGAGCGGAAGCCGCCGGCCTCGCCCGTCCCGAGCCGCGCCGTCCCGAGCGCTGAGCAGGGGCGACAGCCGCCCTCCGGCCCGACCCCGCCCGAGCGAGCCGCGCGCCCCCGCCCCAGCCCGAGCGCGCCCACCTGAGCCGGCGCCATGGCGGAGCAGGAGAGCCTTGAGTTTGGCAAGGCGGACTTCGTGCTGATGGACACCGTCTCCATGCCCGAGTTCATGGCCAACCTTAAGCTCAGGTGAGCGCGTCGCGGCAGCCATGCTGGGGTTTCCCGAGAGAGGGCGCTGCCGGGGCGCTGCTGGAGATTCGGGGTGCCCGGGGCGAGCGGCTCCCGCGCGGGAGTGCGGCGGGGTGACAGGGGTCCGCGGTGCTGGGTGGTCACGCCTCCTCGAGACAGGACTACTCCGCCGCGCGGCCTTGGGACTCCAGGCTGGGACGAGGTGTGGGGCTGCACCTTTTAGGGGCCTGGGGTCGTCCCTGTGTGGTGTCCGGACTGGGGACGGTAGGGACAGGCTGAGCTTGAGGTCGCTTGGGGCGGTACTGCCTGCCCTGCGCCAGGTAAGTGATGTGGGCGGGATCGGGTAACTTAATGGAACAAAAGTAAAGAAAAAGAAACTTTTAGGAGCGGCGTGGTGGCCCTAGCGGTCCTGGGAAAACTGGAGGGTTCTTTGAAAAGAGGCTGGCATCTCTTCCCGCTTTCATGCTCGACTCTTTCTCCTTGTTTTTCTTTGGCGTTGTTCCATCCTGCCGTTCAGGATGCTATGGAGTGAACCCTGAGCTGTCGGTTCCGGGACACGGGCGGTTTTTTAGTTACTCGTTCGACGTAATTAGACACGTTTCCAGACATCGAAGAGACTGCTGTACTTGCCAGTGCCAAGATAAACTGTCTGAATTTGACAAGGCGCTCATGGTTTCAGTTTTTTCAAGGAGTTTTATGGATGGAGCCCTTGTGTTCCTGACATCCCTGAGAATTCAGTCACAACTCAATGCCCCAAAGTGGGCTTCCAAGAGGAACATATTTTAGAAAGGCTTCTGTATGCGGTTATTTCATTTTTTGATATAGTAATATGTAATCCGAGTATTAAAGCAGTTTGACATTTTTTTTTTAAAAAAACGAAACCCAGTTTCTAAATAGCTTAAAGTGTGTGTCTGTTTGCTTGTTTGTTTGTTTGTTTGTTTTCCCAGAAGCTTTGCTCTGTTGCTTGTAAACTTTACAGCCAAATATCACTTCTTAAACTTAAAACCTGAAAATCCCAATTAGGTTTGGATACTTAATGAACCTCATCGTTTACTGCCAACCTAAATTTCACAATTGAAAGAAACCTGGTTTATAGTCTTTGAACTAGCAAGCAGTTTCATACGTTCTGTTCTGCTGTGTAATATAGCTCAGGGTGACCGTGAACTTCTGAGCCTCCCACCTCTACTTCCTGTATGCTGGGAGTACAGGTGTGCACTACCGCGCCTGCTTTATGTAGTGCTAGGATTCAAACCCGGGGCTTGGTGCGTTAGGACATCACTCTGTGAACATCCAAACGGGGCTGCACCATCAGCCCTCATCAGTTCTGTGTTCCTTATGTCTGGAGCAGGAGTGTGGAGTAGGAGCATTGGCCTACTTCTACACCTGCCTGCCATAAACAGGTCTTGTCTGTGGGCCTCTGTTTCGTAACCATAAAGTAGCAAGGCTCTCCAGGAACTTTCGGTGCTTATATTCTGGGACTCCCTGAGTTTCCTACTGTGTCTCAAAGATACACAGTACGTTCCTAAACAGAGTGTTGCAGAGTAATATGCAGTCCCTCCGTGTCCTCAGAATGTTCATTCCAAAAGTCCCTGTGGATTCGAAAATCTGAGGATGCTCACTTATAATCCAGCTACTTCAGGGAGATGCTGGAACATGAGTTTAAGGACAGTTTAGGAAGTTTATCAAGACTCTGTATTAAAAATTACAATCAGAGGATGCCTGAGTCAGTGTAAACTGACTTAGTAGAATAATAGCCCCTTCGTATATGTGGGGCATATATTCCAAGAAACTCCCTAGTGGATAAGCTCTATATACTGTGTTTTTCCCTATAACTATAAACCTGTGGTCAACTTTATAAATTCAACACAGTAAGAAAAATGGCTGATATAAAATAGAACTATCATAACGATGTACTGTTAGAGAAGTTAGGTGGAGTTTTTTATGGTTTCTCTTTCAAAGGATAGGTTTTTTTTTTTTTTTTTTTTACCATATTTATCTTCATTGATAGCATGTAGCTGAAACTGCAGAAAATGAAGTTTTGGATAAGGAATCTTATTTGCATATAGCCTGTATACACATACCTTTCTTCTTTGCAGTCCTAGAGATTGAACTCAGGGCCTTGTGTGCACTAGGCAAATGCTCTCCCACTCACCTACATCTTTAGCCCCTCTTGTGTACTTTAAATCATCGTATTAGGTTACTTATAATACCTAGTACAAGGTAATGCAGTGCAAATACATGCTATATAGTATTAAGAGATAATGACAAGAAAAAGTCTGAACAGGGTCAACACTGATACAGTGATACAATGTTTTCTCCAAAGCTTTTCAGTTTTCAGTTGATTGAATTTAATTGAAGCTGAGAATAGGGAGCCAGCTGTCACAGAAAGCCAACTATAGATTATATCCTTAACATTATAATAGCATGTTGCACTTCTTATGTTACTGTTGTTGGTTCTTGTTTTAGTTAGTTAGTTTTGGTTAGTCTCCCTATGTGTATTCTCAAACATAAAGCAATCCTCTTCAGCCTCCCGAATTCTGGGATTACCAGCATGTGGCACCATGGTTTATATGTTAATTTTAAACTGAAATTTACATGCCCAACTTTTATATAAATGATCTCAAATACCATACTAATCAAAATGATGTAATTATAATTATAAGCAATACTATGGTGGTTCAGAGTCAATGGCTGAGATTCAGATTCTCATCTTATCGCTTTCCTGCTGTGGCCTATGGATAGCTTACTTAAATATTTCTTTATCATTTTTTAAAAAAAGAATTAGGGTTTTCTTGAGGTTAAATTAGTTAATATATTTAATTCCTGGCAAATACTTATTATCAATGCTGTTCAAAGTGTTTCAAGTGCACATAAGGCAGAGAAAAAGCATGTAAAATAATAATTTCACAAATTAAACTTGTTCAAAATTATCTGAGATGCTACCGTACTTCCCCCATGTTGGAGCGGATGTGTTTTGAGAAGCTTTTTTACAATTACGCTTCTGTCAGTTACTAATCATTTCAGTTTATCAGACATCATGTGTGTTTGCTGAGTATGTGTGGCTTATAAAACACAACAGTAACACTTGACTATGATGACTGTGATGTCTTATTTTACCTTCCATATGTACTACACATGTAGTATATCATGGTACTAATCATATGTAGTACACACATGACATGACATTAACTAGAACTTTGAGGAATTTTCGGAGTTTGAAGTTGAAGGCTTAGATTCAGAGTTAAATTAGTTTTTAAAACTTCATTTTCACCAGATGTGGTAGCTTACTCCTATAACCCCAGCACACAGGAGGTTGATGCAGGAAGCTTGCAAATTCACTTCTTGCATAGGGAGAGTCTGTGTTACAAACCCGCCCCCAGCACCAACAGAAAATAAAAGGTAAAGCAATGAATAACACCTTTCCATCCCTTTGCAATAGAATTAAATGGTTGCAGCTTTTAAAAATTAACGATGTCATTATTGTCATTGCTGGGCATCTAACCTAGGCCTTTGCATGCTAAGAAAGTGCTCTACTGCTGAGTTTAGCCTGTGGCTTTTTTCTTTTTAAGTAAATTGAAGGACAACATTTAGGATGATTTTTTAAAAAGGATTTCACACTCATTGGTTGCAAGCTTTCAAAGGTTTGAATTATTAGATCTTTATGGGGAACCTAACTTCTGTGTGCACAGAAGAGAATGGTGTACTTGAACTTTGTTTAGGGTCCTCTAGAGGATGAGAGGATGCAAAGACTTATGAGTAAGATCTGTTCTTTATCTCAAAGAGGTGGCATGTCAGTGAACACAGGGAGGAAGGTGACAATTGCTATTTGTTTAGAAAAAGAAAACGGGATAGCTTTATAGAGCTAGGATGGCTATTTGCCAAGTGATTCTAGAAACTTAATTGTTCTGGGAGTTTGAAAGAGGGAGAAATGCCACGGGGTGACTCAGAAACCCTGAAGAGTAGTTGAGCCAAGTCCCAGAGGATGAGTAGTGCTCATCTAGGTGGACATGTGGGTGGAGAACATTCCAGGTGGAGACCGTGGCACGAGTAGGGCATGGCATTGTGAAAGCTGGCTGTGTTTAGGAGACTGTGAGTGAGCTGTGCTGTCTGCAGAGGAGTTGGTGTCGGGATCTGTGGGAGGAATCATGAGCTCTCATTAGCAGGATTTCTGGCTAATGCTCAGATTTCTAGTCTGCCTCTTCCCTGCCAATCAGAATTCTGGATCATCTCATACCTGTATGTGTTTGCTGCTGCTGTTCACCACCACCCCCCTTTTATTCCAGCGGGGGAGGTTATCTCACTACGTAGCCCAGGCTGACCTCAGACTCATAATCCTCCTGCCTCTGCTTCCATGTGCAGGGATTACAGGTGTGTGCCACCACAGCCAGCCTGTGTGTATGTAACTCTGAGGGTTGGCTATGGCTCTCATTACACAGGTCATCGATTGCTCAGTTGTTAACTCCCTGGAGCCTTAAGCATAGTGCCGGCAAAGGGTGCCATTTCTTTTCTAGCTATAAATCCCAACCCAGATTTAAAAGAATCCTCTCTGGTAGCGTAGACTTCCTGCCAGCTCACCATTTCCCACTGGCTGACTGTAGGTGGCTGTGAGTTCCTGGACACTTCCTGCTGTGCCCTTTGGCTCTCCATTTCCCTTTATTTACAGGTGACCAGGAGTCACCATTGTAGACCATGTGCTAGAAGAGATGTTAAAAATGTTTTCAACATGGGTGGCTTGGGCTACACCAAGCACACATGCTGCTGCCGGGTGAACTGGGAGTCGTCTGGTTGAGGGACGGATGCAAATATGCAAATGAAATTCCTGAAGGTGTTCCTGTTAGTCCTGCCTGCCCCCAAGCTGGCTCCAGTTTGTTCTCCTTACTCTGGGATGTCTGAATTCTGGGTCCTCTGATTTCTGCCTGGTTCTTCCACATGGACTGCTTCCTTTCTTTAGGGTCTGTAGCAAGCAGTGTAGAACAGTTCCTTCAGGGGTTTGTGCCCTC